TTGAGTTGATTTTCAACTTCAGCTTTAAATGTTTTGAACACGTCTAGAGATTGTGACTTTTCATGTATAAGGAATAAGTATGCATATCGTGAGTAATCGTCTATGAATGATATCAAGTATTGTTGACCATTCCACGAAGGTGTAGGAAATGACCCACAAATGTCTGTATGTATCAACTCTAAGACGTCTGTAGCTCTATATGCACATAATCTCTTCACTTTGGTCTGTTTGCCCTTAATGCATTCAACAAAAACATCAAAGTTTGTGAAGTCAATGGACTCTAAGATTCCAGTTGACACAAGTCGTTCAATTCTATTTTTAGAGATGTGACCTAATCGCCTGTGCCATAATGCTCCTGAGTGAGTATCACTAATTTTACGTTTAGTACCCCGTGATTCTGTATTAAGGGTTTCATTATAGGTGGTCACAGTATCAAGTAAATACAGATTATCATAAGGCAAAAGTGAACCAGTTCCAACAATATCTGAATTAAAAGACAAACTGAACTTATTGTTTTCAAATGAACACAAATAACCTAATTTGTCCAGATAAGAAACTGAAACCAAATTCTGTCTAAATGACGGCACAACAAAAGTGTCTTTCAAATCCAAATAAAAACCAGTACTCAATAACAATTTAAAATGCCCTATAGCTTCCACCTCTACCGATTTGCCATCTCCAACATATATCCATCTTTCAGAATCAATTGGCTTCCGCTAGCTTAAGCAACCCTTCATAGAAACACTGATGTTAGTAGTTGCACCTGAGTCTAACCACCAAGTGTTACTAGGTACTGACGCTAAATTGACTTCAGAACATACCAAAATAGGAAACATACTTTTGAGGATCGGAACATAATTCAAATTGGCAGATACAGAAACAATTGTAGCTGGATTAGAACAAAAGAAATAAACTAATTATGCTCACATTATAAAATAAATAATTATAAATATATATTCAAATAATGGTTTAACCCATCTCAAGACACCCAATGCACCATCAATATCAAGTCTTTGGACAATAATATTAACTGTTAGGGATATCTTGTTGTAATGATCAAACATTGACAATAAAGCATGTCCAACAACAAACCAGTCTTTGGATTGATTTATCATCGACAAAACAAATCCTTATAATTATCACATGTTTATCATTACAAGTGTGTATGCAATTTGACCAAATATTAATCTTCCTTTGGGCCGACTAATACTCGCATGAATATACACAAACACTAACATTCAATATTTTTCATGAACTACCGAATTTAAGAGAGGTTACTTTGGTAACTTCTTGACTCAATTTGCTCCCAAAAAAATATTAAACTACCAAAAATTGAATATATTAATTATATAAAAAAACAAATATTTATAATTCTAAAGAATGAAAAATTTATAATTTCTATATATGCACTTTAAGTTGGATTGTTTTGAAATTTGTCAATTAAATATATATGAAGGAGCTGCATCTGAACTTTGTCATCACCGCATGAGCAGTCCAACATGAGCAAAAGGAATAAAAAAAAAAGGTAAATCATCCTTTGACAAACTGCAACCTCACGCGGAATGAATCATTCATTCTGCATTATCACTATATCACACTAAATGCCTGTCATAAGACTATGGACGTGACTCATAATATAAGCACTCTTAACCATATCATCATTTTCAATATTATATGTACAAGCCGACTTTGCTTACTCACTTTCCAAAGGTTGACCAAAACCACCCTTATAAAATACCTCTTCATCCTCACATTCTACTCCATACACACTCTCATTGAGTTTTTTGAACAAAGATATCAACTGTTTTATATAACACTGCATTTCACTTCACTTGGGGTAGTCATTTGCATTTGCAACCCTTTTCGATGGAGGGAGGTAGTTTGTACTCTCTATTCTTTCTTTTGCTCGCTTTGGCTTTTGTCAACTCTGTGCATGGTCAGGGGACACGTCAAGGGTTTTATTTTAGTACGTCATTGCCTCAGAACCAAATTGAGAGCCACCATGAGAAGCCATGACCCTGAATTAGCCAGAGGCCTAAGCCACCGCTGTTCAAACCTCTCCAACACTTCCCCTTTCCGTCGCGAGCAGCCCCGCGACTGAATTAGCCAATGAAGACGAAGGAGTAGAAGCATTTTGGGGGTTTCACCCTCAAATTCGAAATTAGGTTTAAAAATTGGGGATTTTACCCCAAATTTGAATGTAGGGTTCATAAAATTTGAAGATTATTCTCCAACTAGGGTTCTTAATTAGTCAGAATCTGAATTTTGTTAAATATAATTTCCAAAGACAAACATGAATTAAGTATGGGTTGCTCTGATACCAAATGTTAGGTAAACTAATAATTAAATATGATCTTCAATGTAATGATCAAATAGAAAGTAATCACATACTCATAAACATGTTGTAAACTAAATGCGAAAGCGTACCTGAATTAGCCATATGTCTCTCTTAGAGCACTATTGATCTTATGGTCTTCCACCTGAAGAACACCTGTATTTCCCTCTTGGTTTTCTCTCTTGATGGGGATAAAAAGAAAAGAACGGGACTGTAACTACGTTCTGTTTACGTGCTCCCAGAAGGGGACCATAACCCCTTAAAATAACCAAAATTAGGTTAATTACTTAAGTTTTAGTATTTCTAATTTAGCCCCTCATCAAATTAGAAATTACTCTGGTCTCTACACAATTTTATTTTCATGACATATGCCTTTAGCCAGACCTTTTTAATTTAGTCAGATCACTTTATTATTTGTCTTAATAAATAATGACCCTAACACATTTAAATATATATCATATATATACATGACCCAAATTTTGCCAATAATCCTCTCATATTATTTTAATTTTTTATATTTATTTATTATTTATTAATAATATATTATTTAAATTTAAACATGTTATTAACTTTAATTTCACTTTTAAAAACAACATTGGTTGCTGTTAATTATATTTTTAGTCATCCATGTACTATGTGTCGTGTCTTGCAGCATTTTTTATCAAATTTGTAATGTTTTCTAAATCTGTTTTTATTTAAGTTGACATATGTCCCAGTATACTTTCAACACGATTTATTTGAGGCAACTTGACTAGGTAGTAAAAGTGATTGTGAAACGCACTTTTTGGAGGTGAGTTTATGCGTTTGTTCGCTAAAATCGCCTCGAAAGCTTAGAAAACTCATCTTAATGCTACAAACAAATATGATTATGGATAAGCAAATAAGAAACTAGTTACGATGATTTTATCCTTTTTCTCATTTATCCATAATTTTAATTGGATTATTTATTTAAACCTTAATTTATACAACCATTTATTTTATTCACGACCAATACTTAAAATATATGAAATAATAAAATTGAATTCAGTGAGATTCCAACACAATGTATCAATATTAACATTATTTATAGTTAAATAATAAAATAAAAAAATCAAAACAATAATTTTATTATTAATATAATATCATGATATTATACAAAATATTATGTTTTAAATAAAAAATTAATAATCAAAAGTATTATAAAATTTATACATATTACATCAATATTAAAAAGTAAATTTGGTTGGATTGACCCAAATATAACTTAAACCCATTTTAAGTATGTATTAATCTATTTTCAAAATCTTAACTTGTTCAAATAATTGCTGAACTTATTCAAATTGGATCATGCTTACACTACATGTCGTATTTTTTTTTCAAACATAAATTTTATAAATACTGTTATTATGTAATTTTTTTTTTCATTCACTACGTAAATGTTTATCTTATCTTTAGTCAAACAGGATATAAGATAAGATCCAATCTTATTTAAATTGTAAAAGAAAAAAGTAGTGGTTTAAATATTACACTAGTCAATAACTTAATTAAGGTTTTTGATAATTAGATTAACATAATATAAATTAATAAGAATAACATATAATATATGATGTTTATATTTATACTAAATGTTGTTATAAGTTACAACAATTATCTTATATCAATTACCTAATATAATATGAAAGATTAAATAGATCAAATTATAATTTAATTGTGATAATTAAAAGTCACACTTTAATTATTAATTGTAACTTTTAATCATAGGATAAAAGTTGAATTCAACTAATATTTAATTAGTATGTCGTAGTGAAATGGTGGGAGGCTTTACAATGTACCCAAAACCACCAATTGGGTATGGTTGCAAACTTGAAGTAGGGTGGAAGCGTGAGAAACAAAAAAACACATAAACTACCATTAATGAACGAAAAGTGCATTAAACAATGTGAGGGAAGAAAAAAAAAATAAAAATCTTGGGATGGTTCAACAAGGACAAATTTTAGGGATTTAATCCAGTTGCTAATTGGCTTAATAATGTCATAATTGGTCAAATGACATAACGAGTTGAAAAGTTACTATCTTTGATACATTTATCCATAAGTAACCCTAATTAAATTTAAATCCCAAAGCTCCATTAAGAAAAAAACAAATAAAGAAACACAACCGAGAAATATGGATATGTTTATTATATTTAGTATCTAACTGAATCTCGAACATAATTATCTTTCACATATACATTTAATATTCAACCGAATATTGATCAGAATTATATTTTAAAAAATAGTTGCAGAAAACAAACACAACAGATAAAAAAAATTAAATTTAATTAGTCACTATGCAAAATTTCCTTCGACATTTCATATAAATATTCAACATTTATGGTTTAAAATTAACTTTAATGCCATTAGATTATTTTTCTATTGATATTATTATTACTAGCATGAGAATCTCTAGGGGAGCTATATATATATATATATATATATATATATATATATATATATAAAATATATGTGTCTATATATACATCACCAACATCGTACCTGTCACCTGCGTTTGCTCTCTATTTCTCTTCTTTCTTCTCTTCGCAACACATCCAAAGCTTTCAACTTTCAACTTCTTCTGAATCCAAACACCCGCTTTTCTCTTCCCAGCTCAAACTCTCTCTGTACTTCGTTTTTGGGTTTCTTTTGTCATGGGTCGCCCACCCAGTAATGGAGGCCCAGCCTTTCGCTTCACTCCGGTTGAGGTATTCATCAAAATTTCAACTTCACGTGATATTTTCCATGTTTTTTTCTCTTTTTACTCGTGTTTTTATTTATTGGGTCATCTGGGTATTTGTTTTTATGCTAAAATTTTAATATCGTGCTGGGTTAAATTATCCAACTGGCTCTCCTTCATAACTGCTTCATCTTGGTGCTCTCGATTATGTCACCGGATTGATTTTTTGGCATTCAATTTTTCTGTGCATGTATGTGTGTGTGACATTTGGTTTCTAAATGGTGGATGTTTCGTTTGTGTTGGGTGTGATAAACCATTTCTGGGGACTGAAAATACATGCATAAAGTTAGGGCTCTGACATTTGACAATGAATTAGGGTAAATGGTATTTGTACAGGTTTTTAGACCCCCTGTGCACCCAGTGCAAGTGCTGGGAAATTGATGTGAAATAGGTTTTCTTCCCTGTTTTAGGATTTGGGATTAGACCACAAGTTTTGACTTCGTGTTACCAAAACTTTAATATTTTGTCAAATGCCATTTTGTTGTTTTGTGAAGCTTTTTCCTCCCACATGTATGATGTGTAGTGTTCAATGTTATATTTTTAAAGTAGAAAGTAGAAATTGACAAAACCAATTAACTGCAAGTCCAATGAAACAAAATCATAAATCATTACCAAGTTTCTGAGACCTTTGTTTCAACAGAATGTAAGCAGAGCAGGGGAATTAACTGTTGTGTTTAATAGTGCTCCTTTAGTTCTTTTCCCTTTAACAAGTTGAGCTTATCCGACCTTTCAGTTTCTTTGAGGGGAATAAGTGGAAAAAAAGTAATTAAGAAAAATAAAATAAAATGGTTGAATAGTATGATTAGAATCAGTGGTACAGAGTTGCACTAATGCACAGATTTTAAGATTCTATCAACTGAGATGTCCCATAAAAGAGTGCTGTCAATTGTTTCTCTGTATAGGTAGGAGAAATGGAAGCTATTCTTCAAGAACATGAGAATGCAATGCCAGCACGGGAAATTCTTACAGCACTTGCAGAGAAGTTCAGGTGTGCCTCTGCTCAACTGGCCATGCAATTTTAATGAATATCAGACTTTATATTTGTTTCCTCCTGAAAAGTGATTAAAGTTGTTATTTCTTTCAGTGAATCACCAGAGCGTAAAGGCAAGATTACAGTGCAAATGAAACAAGTATGATACGACTACTATATTTTATTTGAAATTGGAATCTTTCACCCTAGTTTTCTTAGTTTCCGCTTCACTATAGGTTTGGAATTGGTTTCAAAATAAGCGGTATGCAATAAGAGCAAAATCAAGTAAGACTCCTGGAAAGTTAAATATTACACCTATGCCTCGGGATGATGCAACCCCAATAAGGACTATGCCTCAACAACCAATAGCTGCTCCAATTCCTGCTACTTCTGCTACAGCAGGTAGAATGGATGCTTTTGAGTGCTTGGTTTTCTTTACCTTGCTTGAATCCATAGCCATGTTTTATTGTTAATCCTGCATACATTATGATGTGTTAATTTCTTTCTGAAATTTGATCATGTTTTTAACTAAGATTAGATACCAAAATAAAATTTATCTAGAATTGGTTAAGCTGATTTTCCTAATTTCTTAGTTTGTATGATATTCACTGGAAGGCTACATGTATGTGGTTTGTAGCATTATGTTTTCCGTTTGAACTTTCTGTCCCAACCCTTATGAAGGAAGTCATTTTATGCTCACTAAACTGTGTTGAGAATTTAGAGTATTGCCTGTATTTTTTCAACATTAATAAATGGTTAGCATTTTTGGTGATAGTTTTCAAGACATAATATGTAAGCTTGAATTTTCGATCAACCCTCTCTTTGGTACCAGTGATTGTGGAAAGAAAGAGTTTGGTGAGAGAATTTGAGAAGAGTGAGAGTAGCATCGAATTTGGCACTGGAGAAATAGGAATGAGAGATAAAAATCTGTGCAGACCCACTCAAATGTGGTTCTCCCAAAATTGACAAGAAAGCAGCATGAAAAAGGGCAACCTTTTTTTTCCCCTTTTATATTGTAGCCCTTGTTTCTTGCTGACTTTCTTTTCATCTATTTGCATATTGTTTACCTATGAAGGTGTGATAGATACTTTATAATGCCATTATCAGTGTGGTTATAATAGAACTAGAACAGAATTGAGGTAAATGGCGTAGCATGTTTTTGGTCCAGCTTATCTTGGAAAATATTTGATCTATTTTTAACCAGCTTCTTGAGAAAACTTTTGAAATAAAGTAGTTAGTTATTTATATTGCTATAACTATTAATATCTAGGTATCAGGGGGGGGGGGGTATGGGCGGAGACAAAAGCATTTGTTGTGAGACAGTTCTTAAATGTCTGAACTGAGCATTTTTGTCTGAACTCAGTATCTCATGAGCAAAAACCAATATGAACTTTGTTTGGGACGTTGTTAACATTTTATTCAAAAGGAATTAAAAAGGAGAGAGTGCACTGATTGAGCAAAAGAGCATGATCCAAAACTGTGTCCCTCTTGAATGCAAAAGACTGTCTTCTATGGATCTTAAAAGAATGTACAATACTCACAGATACGAGGGTCATATCATAAAAAACTAAGTAGAGGAATTCCAACTTTGCTGTTCATCACAGGTTCCGCAATGTCTTCTGCTGGCAATATCACCTATCTCCTCTCCATTTCATGATACACCCAAAGTTTCCCCATCCATTGGAGCTCTTGTTGTTGTGCAAGTTGTAGTTTCCAGAAGTTCTTGATTCTTCTCAGTCATACTTCTTTGAGATCCCTTTGAAATTATTGAATCTCCATCTCCACCTTCAATTTTATTTCCAATCCCCAGATGCTTTCACCAAAGCCCTCATTTGATCCTCCGGTACTCCTAGGATGCTGCGAGCCCAATACTAGTTAATAGTGATAGAGCAGAATTGATGTAAAATAGTAATCTTTATTTTTGGAACAATCAGTTAGACCAGTATCAGGGTGATGCTTGTTGGAAAGCTGTCTTAATTGCCGGCACTCTACCCTGCTTTAATGGCATCCTCTGATACCTTTGTTGTGCTGGGTGTGAGGAGGTGTGTTTAATCCCCCCATATGCTATTGATATGACCTATATGTAGTGCTCATAAGGTTTGAGTAGTTTTAATCTTAATTTCTGGGGTTTATGTTTTTATGTTCTTGTTATTTATTTTCTTTACTTACAATGGCTTCATTTTACTCTACTCAGTTTCGCCAGCAGTAAAAGCAACTCCAGAAAATCCAGTTATGGAATTTGAAGCTAAATCTGGAAGGGATGGAGCATGGTCAATATTTCCTCTTTAATAATCTTTAGGATCTTCGTAGTTTATTTTTCTTAATTATTTTTCATTTGTGGGCCTGACTGATGGTCTTCTTATTGTTAGGTATGATGTTGCTACCTTTCTATCACACAGATATTTGGAGACCAATGATCCGGTAATTTGAAGCTATGCTTATTTCTGTTTTTAAGTTTTTGTGAAGAAATCAGTTTCCTTTTCTCACCAGAATATTTTCCTGGGAATCCTGTGATTTGACTGCTTTTATCTCCTGCACAGCTGTCCATATGCATGCTAAGTGGTTGAACCCTTATTGAACTTGTTAGGACATATTTTGAGTTATCAGTCTTATTGTTAGTGGGCTTGTGCTTGCACTAGCATTAATGGCTTTTGATACAATTAGTAGTGTTAGATATTATGGATAATACCCTTTATTTCTATTCCTTACAATTTAGGGGGCTAATGTTTCATTGGGGAATAGATTTGTCATCAAGTTTCTTGTACTTCAATATAAATTAAGAAGGGCTGAGAAGAATTCTCTCAAGTGACCACAAAAAATTCTAGAGAGTTCAAATTGGTACGTAGAACTTCCTCTCTAATTATGAATCGCGTTGGCCATTTCTTTGAACAAATCCACCAAATTCCCCACTGCCACAAATAATTCTAGAGAAGTCTCCAATAACTCAACTCTGGCAATATCTTACCTACATTTGAAAGACCTTCTATCTTCCATCAAATGCTCGTACACTTACTACCCCAATTTGCTGCACCTTGTAGCATGTACAGTTCAGTTGCAATCCTACATGTGTATTTTAAAGGCACTTGTTTTCCTGCTGTTTGGCCTGGCTTCTCTGCCTTCATTTTATCTATTGACTGCCTCATAGATCTTTCACCCTCCTACAAATCTAATTCTTAAGCTCCTAATTGATCTGGTAGAAGTTCATTCAGACTATTGAATAGTGGGAATCTGCACTATCTCACCATGACCAAGCCAAAGATTTCCTCTTTTTGAGTGTTAGTGTGTCCCTTAACAGTCAATGAGGTGCTGCTAAAATGCAGTAATTTGGATTTTGAAATATATTGATAGCTGCTAAGATACAGAAATTTGGATTTTGAGATATATGAAGAGTTCTCTACCTGTTGTGTCCTCTTTGTTTCTTATTTTCCAGGTCGTTCATCAGTGGTGCTGTAACTATCTCAAGTTTAGCCCTCAATTTTTCTTTGCGAAATTTAAAGTGTTTTGTTGTTCAATTCATCTTATTTTGTTAAGGCTTTTGTTGTTATATCATTTGTTAAAAGAAAGAAACAAAAATTTGAGAAGAGAGACAAGGAGTGAATTTTCTGGAGATGCTTGAATTAAGTTTCCACCCAGAATATTGATCTATTTATAATCAAGAGGGTCGCATGGGTAATTAATAGCTTTTGCTATTTTCAAGGATACAATTAAAATATCACAATCAAGAGGGTTACATGGGTAACTGTGAGAAATCAAATAGTATTTTAGGAAAGAATAAATAAGGAAATTTGTATATTTCCTTGTAATCTGTACAGATTTGAATAATTAGGAACAATCCCATAAATCAAGGGATCCTAGCATAAAATAGAGTTATTATATTTCCTAAAATAGTTTAGGTCTCTTGTATATATCTTATATCATCTCTTTGTATTGATATAATAAAAATCATATTTCAGTTAATCTATTTTTCAAGATGGTATCAGAGCTTCCGATCTAGGAAGCTCTTTCTGCGCACAATAAACCCTAAGACGACGACCTGCATTGCTGCTTGCATTTTTCTTAACCCTAAGACGACGACCTGCATTCGTTGTTGCATTTTTCTTAACCCTAAGACGGCAACCTGCATTGCTGCTTGCATTTTTTTAACCCTAAGACGATGACCTACATTGCTGCTTGCATTTTTCTTAATCCTAAGACGACATCCCGCATTACTGCTGCATTTTTCATAATCCTAAGACGACGACTGCATTGTTGTTGCATCACACCTTTTTGCTATAATGTCAAGGGAAGAGGAGATAGAAAGGGTGAAAACCATTCTTAGTAAGCTGGAAAAACCTACGGGTATGTGTTCTTTGACATACTCGGGTAAGTTTCCACCTTCTTTTGGATTAAATGTCTCGGATACGCCTTTTAACCATTATTGGATATTGGACTCGGAGCCACAGATCACATGACACCATTAGCCAAACACTTCTCCACATATTCCCCATGTCCCAAGCAACAAGAAAATTGCCACAGCGAGATGGAACCCTTATAATTGCGAGTTGGTCAAGGAAATATCCAAATCAATCCTTTAATAACCTTAAAAGACGTTCTCCATGTCCCAAAGTTGTCCACGAACCTAGTGTCTATACAAAAACTTATAAAGGATTTGTCATGTAAAGTTGTTTTTTCCAACGATCATTGTGTATTTCGGGATAAGGATTCGGGGAGGATGATTGGACATGCTAGAGAATGGAATGGCCTTTATTATCTCGAAGATCCAAGTACTGCCTGACAAGAATAGAATCTCTCACTCCTTCATATCCGAATCCTTGATGACCAACGAGAGAAAAAATCATGCTTTATCATTGTCGGTTGGGACATCCCCCTTTTGGAGTGATCAAAATTATATTTCCCTCTCTGTTTACCAAGTTAGATGTTGAGAGTCTTTATTGTGAGGTGTGTAAACTTGCTAAGCACAAACGTATATCTTTTCCAATAAGTAATAGAATTAGCAATTTCCCTTTTTATCTTGTTCATACTGATGTATGGGGACCTTCTAATATTCCAAATGTGTCTGGTACTCGATGGTTTGTCACCTTTATAGATGACTGTACAAGGGTCACTTGGGTTTTCCTACTTAAACAAAAATCAGAAGTCAGTTCTGTCTTCCTAAACTTCCACTCCATGATAAAAAATCAGTTTGGTGTTAATATTAAGAGGCTTAAGTCAGATAATGCCAAAGATTACTTCAATCATGTCCTTAATTCTTTTTGTCAAAAAGAAGGTATAATTCATGAGTCCTCTTGTGTCAAAACACCACAACAGAATGGGGTCGTAGAGAGGAAAAATGGACATTTATTAAATCAGACTCGGACATTGTTGTTTCAAAAAAGTGTCTCAAAAAATTTCTGGGGGGAAGCTGTCCTTACAGCAACATACCTTATCAATAGACTATCCTCTAGAGTCTTAGGATCAAAAAGTCCTATGGAAGTTTTGTCGTCTTTCTATCCAAACTTGTCTACTACAAATAATCTTAAACCAAGAGTTTTTGGGTGCATCTCATATGTCCATATTCATAGTACGAGACGGGGAAAACTTGATCCTAGAGCCTTAAAGTGTGTCTTTGTTGGTTACTCACCCACTCAAAAAGGGTATAAATGCTACCACCCCCATCCAAAAAATTCTTTGTGTCTAGGGATGTTACCTTCAATGAACAAGAGGGCTATTTCCATCAACCTTATCTTCAAGGGGAGAGTTTCGGGGAAGATAAGGAAAGTAGTGATTCTGGTTTTCCCATTCTTCCGGACTTCACATTTGAACCTAACCGAAATCATATTGAAAGTAGTAATTCTGGTTTTCCCATTCTTCCGGACTTGATATTTGAACCTAAACAAGATCAAATTGAAGTTGTAACAAATGAAACAAGTCAAGGAATTGGTCAAGCAAAGGAAGTTGGTCAAGAAAGTGAAATTAATTGTGAAGTTGATCAAGAAGATGTTGAAAGCTGGAAAATTTGGTAAGAAGTCTGGTGTACTCAAGGAAGACTAAGGCCATTCCAGGATCAAGCCATGTTCAAGAATCCAACTCGACTCCACAAAAAGAGGTAACAATTTTTTCTCCAGTGTGCGAGGTTGAAATTGAAACCCAAAATGATCCGACCTCCCAATTGCCATTAGAAAAGGAACAAGAAAATGCACCAAACAGCCACTCTACCCTCTCTCAAATTACCTGTCCTTTAAAAATTTCTCTCCTACCCATAAAACCTTCCTAGTAAACCTAAACACCGTACTTCTACCTAATACCCTATCTCGAAGCATTGTCGACGAGAAAATGGAGGCAAGCCATGGATGAAGAGATGGAGGCATTGGAGAAGAACAACACTTGGGAGTTAGTCACCTTACCAATAGGAAAGAGGCCGAGTTGGATGTAAATGGGTCTATACGATGAAATACAAGGCTGATGGATCAATTGAGAGATATAAGGCAAGACTAGTTGCCAAAGGGTTCACCCAAACCTATGGAGTTGATTATTTGGAGACCTTTGCTCCGGTTGCCAAAATGAACACGAGTTAGGGTGATATTGTCCCTTGCTGCCAATTATGGTTGGAACTTGGAACAATTTGATGTTAAGAATGCTTTCCTACATGGAGACCTTGAAGAAGAAATCTATATGGAGATACCTCCGGGATATGGTAAAGATGTTGCTGCCAACACTTGTTTGCAAGTTGAAAAAGGCATTATATGGGTTAAAGCAGTCCCCGGTGCATGGTTTGGCGGGTTTACTAAAGTTATGACAGTCCGGGTTACAAACAAAGCCAAGGGGACCATACTTTGTTTTTTAAACATTCCAAGTCGGGGGAGTAACAATATTATTGGTGTATGTGGATGACATAATATTAACTGGAGATAATAAAAAAGAGCAACAATTATTGAGTCAATGCTTAGGCAAGGAATTTGAGATCAAGACTTTCGGAAAACTAAAATATTTTTTGGGAATTGAAGTTGCCCACTCCGAGAAAGGGATATTTATATCTCGACGAAATACATCATCGATTTGCTCAAGGAAGCTGGCAAGGCGGCTTGCAAACCTGCTAGTACCCCATTAGAACCAAACCTAAAGCTTGGAAATGCGAGAAGATGTTCTTCGTTGAAAAAGATATGTACCAAAGACTAGTGGGCGGACTTATATATTTGTCACATACCGGGCCGGATATTGCCTATGTAGTGAGTTTAATTAGCCAATTTATGCATAGCCCAAAGGAGACCCATTTACAAGTCTGCCCACGGAATTTTACGAGTACCTTAAAGGAACTCCGGGAAGAGGGATTCTATTCAAAAGGAATGGTAATGTGAAGCTTGAAGCCTATATCGATGTCGATTATGCGGGGTCAATTGTGGATAGGAGGTCAACTACAGGATATTGCACCTTTCTTGGAGGAA